GAACTGCTGTGGTCACGTTGTCCTCATTTAGCAAATGTTACAAAACCTTCTGGGCATATGAAGGCCCTGTGTGAACCCAGGCAACTGCATGGACCCACGGCCTCCCTGTGGTGCCTGTGTCCATCTGTGCCCAGGACCCCACTGTCCCCACCACTCTGGCGTCATGGCCCCTGTCTCCATAGCAGAAGCCCCTGCGCCTGTTCAAGGTGTGGGCGGGACCACATTCCCTCCACTCGGGCTGCTGGCCTCCAGCTGCTGGAGCCACGTTCCTGGCATTCCTGAGCAGGGCTGCACCTTTGCTCTAAAATCTGTGCCCAGGGGGCTTCCCTGGTGGCGCAGGGGTTAAGAATCCGCCTGCCAATGCAGGGGACACGGGTTCGAGCCCTGGTCCGGGAAGATCCCACGTGCTGTGGAGCAACTAAGCCCGTGCGCCACAACTACTGAGACTGTGCTGTAGAGCCCACAAGCCACAACTACTGAACCCGCGTGCCACAACTACTGAAGCCCGTGCGCCTAGAGCCCGTGCTCTGCAACAAGAGAAGCCACCTCGATGAGAAGCCCGCGCACCACAACAAAGGGTAGCTCCCGCTCGCCGCAACTATAGAAAGCCCGCGCACAGCAACGAAGACCCAACGCAGCCGAAACTAAATAAATAGAATAAAATAAAATAAAATTTGTGCCCAGGATTTGTTTTAATCACCTATGGTAAGGTGACAGAAATGGAGACAACTGCCTTTGAAGGAAGAACTTTTTTTTTTCAGTTTTTATTTATTTATTTTTACATCTTTATTGGAGTATAATTGCTCTACAATGGTGTGTTAGTTTCTGCTTTATAACAAAGTGAATCAGCTATACGTATACATATATCCCCATATCTCCTCCCTCTTGCGTCTCCCTCCCACCCTCCCCATCCCACCCCTCTAGGTGGTCGCAGAGCACTGAGCTGATCTCCCTGTGCTATGCGGCTGCTTCCCACTAGCTAGCTATTTTACATTTGGTCGTGTGTATAAGTCCATGCCACTCATTTCTTCCCAGCTTCCCCCCCCCCCCCCCCCCCGTTCCCCAAGTCCATTCTCTACGTCTGCCTTGAAGGAAGAATTTATTATTCACATTTCTCAAGAGAAGGGGCCACCCCCTTCCATCAGGAGCATAGGTTTGGGTCAGAAGGCAGAAGCAGAAGTGAAGAGAACGTGGCCCAGAGCCTTAACTGGGGTTTTCACAGGAAGGAATGGGTGAGGCAGCACAGGTACACGTGGCAGATTTAGGATTGGACAGTTTGAATAATGCTGGCAGGGCTGAGCGCTAGGGGCAGTGCTGCTTGCCCAGTGCCCCGCCCTGAGGGGGCCTCGGGCAGAGGGCACGTGGGCGCGGTGGCTGAGAGTGGCTCACTGTGGGGGGGCTCAGCACTGGGAGGGCTGTGTCTCCAGGACCAAGGCCCCAAATGCCACAGCACCAAGAATACAGAAAAGAAGCGAATGTCGCCAATACAGTCAGAGACACTAAGCGAATGTAGCCAATACAGTCAGAGACAGATACGGGGTCGGGCGGAGGGAAGGAAACCGCTCTGCCCTGCTTAGAGATACAGGCCAGGTTTTTTATTTTATTTTTGCGGTACGCAGGCCTCTCACTGCTGTGGCCTCTCCCGTTGCGGAGCACAGGCTCCGGACGCGCAGGCTCAGCGGCCATGGCTCACGGGCCCAGCCGCTCCGCGGCATGTGGGATCCTCCCGGACCGGGGCACGAACCCGTGTCCCCTGCATCGGTAGGCAGACTCTCAACCACTGCGCCATCAGGGAAGCCCTAGGCCAGGTTTTATTTGAGAAAATACAGGCTTTTGTTTAAGAGAAGGAAGAGGGAGAAAGATTGACGGTGCTGCCAGCAGGCCCCCTGGTCCTCTTACCAATCGGAGACAGGGACGAAAAGCCTAACAGGAAAATAAATGAAGAGGGAGAAAAGGATGAAAGAAAAAACCAATATAAGGGCACAGAGGGGAGAAAATAAGGCCTAGTTCTGCCCATTCTTTTCCCTGTAAAATTTAGGGGTTGCTCACGGTGGAAGAAACACGCCGTGCAGCTGTGGTCCCACTGTTAGGGCTCCACACCAGAAATCCAACACTGCTAACACCACGGTCTCCACCGACCAGCGACCAGACACTGTGCTCAGTGGGTGCCTCTCCCCACCGTTGGCTCCACCCTGAAGGGACAGCCACGCCTCTCCAGGCCACCCTGGCACCTGGCTGCCTTCCAGCACGCACCGTCCTGGCAGGCGAGCCCTTGGCCAACCTTGACCAATGGCAGATGCCTTTCTCCAGGAGCACAGGTGTGGCCTCACCGTGATGACGTCCTCCTCCAAGGACAGCCACTGGACACACAGGTCCAACATCTTCTAGTCCTTGCTGAGTTCTGGTGGCCACATATTCTTCCCCCAGACCCCCTGGCTACCTGGGGAGCCCCTCGGGATGACCTGAGTGGCAGCAGCGGGAGTCTGTGGACTGTGTGAACAGCACTGCCAGCTACCCCATGTGCCGGGGCTCCTCTCGTGCCTCAGCCCTGCAGATGGACGGACCCAGAGCTCAGCACACCGGCTGCACTTCACGCAGCTGTCTTAGCCGCGGGTGCCCTGAACAAGTGGCCCATCTGCACGTTGATCATACACTGTCCAACCATCATCTAAAGATCGCCCGCTCCAGAGGTGAGAACTCTAGGAATCTCTTGTCTCACAGACTCCCAAATATATATCAAAATCACACGTTTCCACGTGCACTAAGGCCACGACGTGAGGTGTGGCCAGGACATGCTACACATGTCACTTCTCAAAGTATAGTCCCTGACGGCTCCCAGAGGGCCTGTGTGACTGAGACAAAGACTGTCTCCTCAAACACCCCTTTGCAAATGCCAGTCCAGCAAGTGGAGCCCTAGATGGGCCTCTGTCTTGCCCCAGCCCTTAATCTCTCTTAATTCAAGGACCGTGGTTAACTCACACCTCACGCCAAGTTTCAAAGCATTTCCACTGCCCTCTCCTCTGTTAAAGGGGACCTGTCCTGCCTTTGGGCACTAAAGACTCTTTGCACTGAGGATACTTTAATAATGCCCATCCCCTCCCTCCGCCTCCCCATGTGGTCCTGCCTCCTATTTCTAGGGATCTGTGTCTGTCTGTCTAAGCACACATGATTAACATGATTAAAGCAAGTCCTGAGTGCAAATTTTAGGACGATCTTCAGATGGCTTTCTTTCTTCTGAAGTCACCACGCAGCCTCCTTCGTGTCAAATCTCCCTCTGCCTCCCCCTTACAAGGACACTCAGAACCTGCTCGGATAATCCAGGGTCATCTCCCTATCTCAAGTCCCTTAACTTAGTCCCACCTGCAAAGTCCCTTCACGGTAGACGCTCCCACTCAGAGGATGTGGGGGGCCAGCCGCTCACACACAGTGTGCCCCTCATAATCCCTGGGCTACTACTGCTGTCGTGTTTCAGTCTCTGGATATACTTCGAGCCCCACGAGATGTTATTATTGCCGTGTTATGTGTCACTCTTCCCTAGACTTACAGACAATAGACCTTTCTGCTGCCTTTCCTTCCTTCCTGCCCCTCTGGGCTGCAAGGATCACGTTCTTCTGGAAGAACACCAGTTACTGTTTCCATAAAGGAGGGTCAGCGGTGACAAGCGTTCTCAGAGTTGGATTCTCCAAAGCGTCTTTATTTGACCTCCATTTCAGAGCACGCTTTTTGCTGGATCGAGACGTCCTGGCTAACTGGTTTAGTTTGAAGTTTTCCTTCCCTTGGCTACTGGTTCTGGCCGCTTCTGTTGGAAAGTCAGTGTTCTTTCTTGCTGTTTTGCACTTTGAGGGTAGCGGGTCCTTTCCCCCTCGAGCTGCTTTGGAGGCTTTCCTTTCAGCTTTAGTTTCAGCATTTCACTAGGACCCGCCTGGGTTCTGCTGCCTTTGTACTTTTCCTCGGGCTACGCAGCACGTCTTCATTCTGTGACTGGATGTCGTCCATCACTTTTAGAGCTCCTCTCTCTGCAGCCCAAGGGACTGGTGACACTGGTTGACTCTGGGGCGGGGTTCTGCTGTCCGAGGGAGGGCAGTGCAAGGCCAGAGGCTCTTCCCCGAGTCCTGAGACGTTTGATTGGTGGAGGATGTGATGCTGTGCGACCTACAGTATATGTACGTATACACACACGTAGTGCATGTGCAGTTTGAAGCTTAAACATTCACCGCTGACCCACCTCCCCCAACACCCAGGCCGCGCTGCCCATCTGCCCATAGAAATGTCCACTTGGCTTCTCAAAGGCAGCTTAGCCCCCTGACCACCCCCGTTGCTTTACAACAGCCCTCCTCTCAGAAAACGTCACATCCGCACGCTGCTCCAGCCAAATTCCTAAGAGCCACCAGTCCACCTTCCAAATGTGTCCCACTTCTGACCACCTTCCACCGAGCAGCCGCCTGGCCCGCGCGTTAGGATACTTGCCGGCCCGCGAGCCGACCTTCCGAAGCATTAACAGACGACGGTTTTCACTCGAGCGGCGGAAGGCCGAGCGCTTTCCGAGTGCCGCCCAGTCCCCGCAGTCTGCTCGGCGCGGGAGGGAACGGAGGGGAGCAAACTGCCGGGAAGGGGCTCTAGATTGGGGCGGGGGGTGGCAGCCTGAGGGCAGCTGGGCAGAGCCTACTGCCTTGTAGAAGCGCTCCAGATTCCGGGGCTGCGGGAGCTCCCCGCCCCGCCACGCAGCCCCACGCCCACCGCCCCGGGCCCGCCTCCACGGCCGCCTCCCGCCAGACCCCGCCCACGCCTCCTGCTTTCCCCTCCCGGCCGCGCCCCTCCCACAGCCCCGCTCCACGCCCACCGCTCCGGCCCCGCCCACCGCCCGCGGCCCGCCAGACCCCCGCCCGGCCAGCTTCTGCCGAGGCCCCGCCCCGTGCCGGCGGTCACGTGGCGCGCGACCCGGAGGCGGAACCGGCGGGCGGGGCGCGGGGCGCGGGGCGCGGACCGCGGCTCCCGGAGCGCGGAGGGCCGGGTGGGTCTCCTGGGATTGGGGTGCTCCCGTGCCCGGAGTTTGCGTCCCCTGCGCCCCCGCCATGCGCCCACCTCGCCCCCGTGCCGCGCTGCTCGCGCTCCTGGCCGCGTCCCTCGCGGCCGCCGAGGTTCCGCACCTGGTGCGCGTGGACGCGGCCCGCGCGCTGCGTCCCCTGCAGCCCTTCTGGAGGAGCACCGGTTTCTGGTGAGCGCTCCGCGGGGGACACTGAGGTCGGAGCGGCCCAGCACGCCCCTGCTCGCTGCGCGCTCTTCCCAAACCGCGGCCGCGCACCCCGGCCCGGGCCTCCGGGACCCCCGTGTCGCACCTGGAGAGACCTGCAGTAGGCGCTCCGAAGTGAGGAGGGCCGCGGCTCGCTCCTTCCTTTCGGGTCCAGCCTCAGAGTGGGGACCTCCTCTCTGTTCGCTGGCTCTATGCGATGTTTCCGGTGCTGCGGAGGTTTTCTAGCTGAGCGGCTGCCCCGTGTGGTGGGGGCCTGGGGCTAGGTCCTGAGTGTGCTTGGTCACCCCCCCAGAGGCTGAAGAGCCTGGTGGCCAACCGCGGCAGCCCAGGCTGCAGGAGGGGCTGTGGCCCAGGACACTACTCTTTGGCGCAGACCGGGACCCCCTCGAGGGGGCAACCCCAGAACGTTCGACGTCCCTGCAGTGGGACCTGTCCCCGTCCCTGGTGTCCCCGATTGCCTCTGTCAGACTTGGAGCTGATATCTCCCGGCCGGTGGGGCAGGGAGCAGGGTGGGAATGTGATCTCTCTGGGAGCCCCCGACCCCCATAAACCTGAGACTTCGTCACAGTCCTGGCACTAGGGGGCAGTTTATTACATCAGGGACAGTAAAACTCACCAGCAGACACGCCCCGGTCCTTGCCCTGAGTTTGTAGGTGTGGGGCCTGTGCTGAGGCCCCTCCGCTAGCCCCACTCAAGGGAACTAATGCCTCTGCTTCCCCTTGTTTTGTGCCCAGTCCCCCACTGCCGCACAGCCAGGCTGACCGGTATGACCTCAGCTGGGACCAGCAGCTCAACCTGGCCTACGTGGGTGCCGTCCCTCATGGTGGCATGGAACAGGTTCGGACCCACTGGCTGCTGGACCTCATCACGGCCAGGTGGGTGATGGAGGGGATGGGCAGCCTGGGGGCAGCTGGGCAGAGCCCAGCATATGGAGATGCAGACGGAGACTGAGAGAAAGTGGCGTCTGGGTGTGGAGGACAGTGAAGTACCGGGCCATGGCGGGGTGACGGGGTGGGGGACGCCTGCTCCAAGAAGCCATTGCCCCTGTGCTTCTCGGCCAAGCATCCTGGGGGCAGGGGAGGATGGAGGGCACCCTCCTGGCGGCACAAGCGCTGTGGCTGCTGGGGCAGCCCCTGGATCGGGCGAGTGGGCACCCTCGCTCTATGCTCAGACTGTGGGGATGCCACGCCAGGGGCCGGGCTGAGGTCGTGTTGGTCACGTCTGCCTTTGGCCCTGCCAGCCCCTGTGGGGGCTGAGGCACAGGGTGTAAGAGACACTTGGGTGTGTGCATTGCGGGGTTTCCTAGACACAGAGACTCTCACCCCTGGCCAGAGCTGCCAGCTCTCACTTGGTGGGGGGGTGCTAGCGGGCCAAGGGACCAACGTCCTTTTGGCACGTTGGAGGCCACGTGACTGCCTCCGGGTCCTTGTTCAAGTAAGACGGGACACCAACTGTCAGGCCGGCTCCACGGACCACAGATGCACAGCACTGGGCCCAGGCTGGCACCGAGGCAGCGTTTGTCTCCAAGGTGCAGTTGAGGGTTCTCAAGTGTCTGGGTCCTTGTGTGTGTTCACTGCCACTCTCCATCCCATTTGGGGTTCCCTGAGTCCTCTAGATTGGAGGCACCAGGCGACAGCAAGATTGCAGTGATGGGTGGTGGGAGTGGAGGCTGGCGGCAGGTACCGGCTCTGTTAGAGGGTGTGGTTGGCGGCAACCGGCTCCTGGCAGCGGGCTCGGGCCGCCTGCACGGCGCAGTGCACGCTGGGGAACAGCTGCCCCTCCTCGGCCGCGTCCCCCGGGTCCTCCCCGAGGAAGCCGCCTCTCCTCAGGGTGTCCCTTACCGAGGGGCCGCAGCAGGCCAGGAGCAGGGTGATGCCCAAGGCCCCGTAGTCTCGGCGCAGGTCCTGCAGCGTGGCCAGGCCGGCAGCATCGAGGAACAGCAGCGGGGCACAGTCAATGACCACTGCGTGGAAGCGGGTCGCTGAGGGCACCAGTGCAGCCGTGCTGCTCCCGGGACCCAGGTCCCTGCCTTCGACAGGCTCTGCCTCGCCAGCCCCCACCCGCGGGCCCCGCTCCTTCCTCCAGGCGGCTGCGTAGCCCGCGTTCAGCCCGGTGAGGCTGTAGAGCGACCGCAGGAAGAAGTCCTTATTGGCGTAGTAGAGGGGCCCCGTGAAGCGGAACACCTGCACACCAGGCTCGGGGACCAGGCCCTCAAATTCTGCTGGGTCCCCGTAGAAGCTGGAATCCCCGGCGCGGGCGAGCAGGGCAGCGTGTGGGTGCCGTGTGCGGCCGGCCAGGCTGAGCAGTGAGAGGAGAATGCCGGCCAGGAGCCCGGCCTCGGTGCTGACCAGCACGCAGGTGGCCGCCGTGGCCACCCAGACCAGAGCATCGGCAGGGCTGAGCCGCCACAGCCGCGGCACGTCCCGCACCTTGCGCAGGGCCCCACGCAGGCTGACGATGATGATGCAGGCCAGCACGCTCCGCTGCAGGTCCCGGAACAGGGGCGCCAGCGCCAGCACCACCAGCAGCACCACAGCGGCGCTCACCGCGCTGGACAGCTGCGTGCGGCACCCGGTGGCTGTCTTCACCAGGCTCTTGGCCAGGGTGGCGCTGGTGGCAAAACAGTGGAAGAAGGCCGGCAGCACGTTGCAGCAGCCCACAGCCAGCAGCTCCTGGTTGGCGCGCACAGAATAGCCATGGCTGCGGGCGAACATCTCCGCCAGCGAGATGGAGAAGGCGGAGCCCACGAGGGCCAGGGACGCGGCGTCCAGCGCCACGCGCCACACCAGCGCCGGGTCTGGCACATGCGGGGCCATGAAGCCAGTGGGGATGTCGCCAGCCACGCTGGAGCCGAAGCGCTCGTGGAACTGCCCGAAGTGGGACACGAGCGTGGCCGCCCCGATGACCAGCAGTTCTGCGGGCAGCGGCACCTTCAAGTGGCGCCGGTAGCGGTCCGAGAGCTCCTTGGCCGCCAGCAGCACGGCCAGGCATGCGGCACTGGTGAGCACGTCGCACAGGTTGGCCTGCCCGGCACTGCGTAGCAGGCTTAGCCACGTGCTGACCACCAGGCCCGGCCCCTGGTGCCGTGGGACCCGCACGCCCAGCAGGTGTCGGAGCTGGGAGGTCAGGATGGTCACTGAGGCCCCCATGGCGAAGCCGTCCAGCAGCGGCTGCGAGAGGTAGGCGGACACAAAGCCCAGCCCAAGGATGCCCATGAGGACCTGCAGACAGAGCGTGGTCAGGGCCGCAGGGCGCGGGCATAGCACAGAGCCGGACCTCCCTTCCTCGCATTGCTTATTTCCCACGTGGACCCCACCTGCAGCCGCCTGCACATACGTGTGCGCGCACAGGCACAGCAGACGCCGGAGTGCACGCTGTGGCCACGACGCTCACCGTGGTCTCACACACGCGGGCTCTGGGCATCGGAAGGCAGCTCCTTCCTCGGCCCTGTCCACAGCACCGGCCCCCTCCCGGGGGACCTGGAGCTGAGAGGAAGAACCTGAGGTGGCTCTTGGGAGGGGGCGACGTTGGGGTGGACAGCCCTGGTCCAGTGAGGGCTGGGTGCGGGGAGGCCGTGGGAAGGCAGGCGGGAAGGCAGTTCCCAGGATCCCACTTGGGACAGGAAGCTGGGGAGGATGTGCAGGCCAAGTGGGGGCACATTTGGGCCCGAGGCCACACTCTGCAGCTGGCCAGGCAGGCCCCCGACCCCGGGCACCCTCAGCCCCTCTGGTGCCCCGACCTGGGGTGCTGTCACGCACCCACTTCTGCCTATGCCCTGTTCTCTCCTCGCCTTGCGGGTTAAGCCACTGCCCTGACCTCCTGTCTCCCGCGGGCTTGGCCCTTGCAGGGGGGTGACCAGTACCTGGAGGGCTGCTCTGAGTGGCTGAGCCAGCCTATCTAGGCCCAGGCCCGGCTCCTCACCTGGTAAACCCCGGCCAGCAGCGTGAGGGCGGTGGCCACGCGGATGGCGTAGCAGTCCCGGCTGCAGTCCTGCAGCCCAAGCGCCGGCATGGTGGCCGAGGCGTTGAGGGCGCTGCGGTTGGCCCCGGGGCCCGGGCCGTCCTGGGCGGGGTCGAAGCCGGCCTGCAGGAGCTCGCGGTCTACCACCTGGCCCACCATGAGGCAGAGCAGGCTGAAGATACCCACGGAGACGTGGCGTGAGGTGCCCATGAGGAAGTAGATGAGGTTCGCAAAGAAGGACGTGTAGAGGCTGTAGATGGGCTGCAGCCCGGCCAGCAGTGAGTAGGCGATGGCCTGGGGCACCAAGATGATGCCGATGACCAGCCCGGATATGACGTCACCCGCCAGGTCCTCCCGAGGCTGGTACTGGCGGAGCCAGCGTGTGGCGGGGAGCAGGTTCTGCAGCAGCGCCCAGGCCCCCTGCACGCTGCACGAACAGCTCCGCCACAGCCGGGCCTTCAGAGCCTCTCGCAGGCCTGGGGGTGCGGGGGGCCGCCGGCGAACCAGCGCCAGCCCCCTGCCCTGCTGTGTGCACTCAGGGGACGCTGCCATCGTGGGGTACCGGCCCGCCCCCCGAGAAAACCTGCAGGGTGGGCAGAAGTGGGTGTCATTGCTGGGGTGGCGAGACGTGTCAGAGTCAGGGCGTCACGGAGACCCAGACTCGCGTGGCCAGAACAAGCTCCACTGCTCTCCGTCCGTGCCCGAGGCCCCTCCGCTCCCCCCGGAGCCGCCCGGACCACCACAGCCCCCTCTGGCCGTCCCTCCATCACCTCTGCACTGCAGCCCTGCTGGCGGGAAGAGCCTTGCAGATGCCAGGACCCCAAATCTGTGCTGCAGCAGCGCCTGCCACTGCCCGGTCCTTGTGGCAGAATTCCTGGAACGTGCTTTGAGGGGCCGGCTGGGAGGGGAGCGGGGGTGACTGGTGTCCGTCGCCTGCAGGGTGTTCTGGGACAGCAGGCCCCTTTCCCGGTGAGGGTTAACGCTTCTGGGTTTTGGCTGGTGGCTCAGGCCGCACAGGCGCACCGCGGAACACACGTGCCAACCGTCCCTGCTCTCCAGAGGGCAGCCTGCCACCCGGCCCAGGCTGACCTTGCCTCTGTGCTCAGCGAGCACCAGGGCGTCCCGTTCACAGCTGTGCTGAGGTCCGCCAGGACTTCGGCTCTTGCTGTCCCCCTCTTGGTGACATGAAGCAGATGGTCTCTGCTTCCTCAGAGCCTGGTCACCCTGGCGCAGTGTGTGCACTGGCTGGGGATGCGGGGCCTGGGGTGTCCCCGGGTGTGGAGGATGGGCGCTCGTCCCGGCCTGGTGTGAGGTGTGGGCAGGCGGACGCCGCCCCCAGGGCTCGAGTGGCAGGCCTGCCCTTTGGGGGATGCTAGGGGAGCTGTTTCTTTCCTTTGAAGACCTTACCACACGGGGGTCCCTGGACACCTTGAGCTCAGCCAGCCCCCGAGGTCCAGGTGTGTCGACTGAGTGACTGTTTAAACAACGGGGAGCCCACAAAGGAAACAGTGGAATCGGGCCTCTCCACTCACAGCGTCCTGCCCCTCTGCTCCATCCAGGGGGCTGGCCTCTGCTGTGGCCGAGCTGTCTAGAGCTGTCGCTGTCCTGCCGCAGGGTCCCAGGGGGCCTCTTACCTGAGGGGGCCCCTCGCGGGCTCGGCAGAGAGTGCGGACCTAGCTTGTCTGTCCCCGGGGCCTTGGGCTCAGTTAGCGGGTTGGGCGTGCGGGTGGTGGGCTCAGGCACGGAGCTGGCCTGGCACTGACCGGCGGGCAGTGCCCTGTGCCTAGCATCTGACTGCTCGGCTGTGCTGGGCGTGCGGTTAAATCATTTACTCCGAAGATTGCTGAGTCATAGGTTCCCCCAGATGAGCATTACCTGAGCGGCTAATTCGGGGAGTTGTACTGTAATCAGAGGC